ATCTGAAATAATTTCAAATGCAATTTTATTATATTATTATAAAATAATTGCTTTCGAGTGTTTATAGAACTGTTGCAATTATTTTAGGAGAAAAATTGATATCATTTATTGTGTATTGAAATTGATATATTTATTCATCTATTGTTTTATATTAAAAGATATTGTGGTGTATATATATATTATATATATATATATATATATAATACACGATTTTATGACATAGTTCACGGAAATAAATATATAAAATAAATAAGTAGTTTAATAACAATTAAAAAAGTTTACCAGTCCCTTGGTACCAGCTACAAAATCCTCTTCTACACCTTCAAATCCCATTCTAAACAAATTGGACGCACAATTGCTGAAAACTCTAAAATTGATTGAAGCTTTAATATAGCTATATCCTGCGCGTAGTTACCTTGAATGTCATAATATCTGAAATGTTCTTTTTTTTTTAATTGAACACTTTTAATACATCGAAATTACTTGAATTCATACGTTGGCGGTATAAGTAATCTATCTATTTCACTATATTGTGCATAATTATCATTTATATTATCCCAATCTTCATATATTTTACCAGCCACTACAGTGAAACGAGATTTGTCTATACGGTTCAGTGTTCCAGGCTCATAAAAACAGTGAGCAGCTATTTAGAAAATTATAGTTAGATTTCATAATATAATAAATGTTTTACATATGTACCTGTAATGACAAGTTTGTTTGTCACAATGCTCCCACCGCACCAAATTCCATATTTATTTAAAACATTTAAATCTTTGAGATAGATTCCAACATGCCAAGGAAAATCTTGAAGACCTGCGTCTTGCCCTTTAATGACAAGCGATATACCTTTAGGTCTTGCAACGCCGCATTCTAAAAAATAAATATATTATGTATAAAAAAAAAACTTATATTGTGTAAACTAACCAGCTGTACATCTGTATATGCTGTAATCCCAAGTTCCATCTTCTTCACAACTTACGAAATTATATTCTGGATTATATGGTAGTCTATAACCTCTCTTGCAACTTAAGAAGGCTTTTGTGCCTGATTTTACAGGCTCATCACAAGGCACAGATAGATTATTATAAATACAATTCAATTGAACACTGCTCGAAGTTAATCCTTTGCATTTTTCTGTTGGATAAATTACAAGAATTTATAACTACATTTAATTATTTGGAAGAGCTCGCGACATGGGCTTTAAGATAAAAAATGCTAATTTTTAATTTATATACATTTTGCACGATGATAATCTAATTTTCTGATCTAGATTAAAATTTGAATGTTTTGAAAGTTTTTAAGGCTATTCAGCAAATACTTGATCTAACAATTTAAATGTGAAAAATATAACCTGAAATTAACATATCAATAGTCGACTACCTGTTTTGATTATTGTTATATTATATTATATTGATATAAATCTTACTTAAACATTTTGCTGTTGTAGACCATTGGCCATTAGTACAAATGCCGGTATCGTCTCCAATTAATCCAAATCCTTCGTTGCAATTAAATTTAATTACTGACCACTCTGGAACTTTTGTACCGGGATTCGGAATGCCATCAAAGCCTCCAATTACATATTGGCCATTTTCGAGGGGTGGTGGTATAGTACACATTTGATTGATGTTACTAAAATTACAGTAAATAAATAAATATATATTGATATATATATATATATATATATATATATATATATGTATGAATGCATATATACAACCAATATACTCACGACGATGATGAAATTCTGCCACAAAATATTGGTTGTTCCACTTCATTAGCTGTGCTCTTCAAGAAAAGTATAGATTTTTAATAACAATAATCCCTTATTATAAAGTTATGATGCATCGTCTGTATTTTCATATTTACCAAGACATCTTTAATCCAGTGAATATAATTCGAAATATCTGTGAGCAGAATTATTCCCTGAGTAGTTAAACTTATAGATACAATTCCGATTAAAGTTTTTGGTTCCGCATATGGTTTCATTACACCTGACCCTCCATAACCATAAAATGCACTATATGGTTCTAAAAATTCATATATTCATTATTATTAATTATGATTATTATACAATGTTAGCTATAATTGAATATAAAATTTTTACCCGCGTTTGGATTTCCAACACATATGTTATTTACTGTGATGTATTGTTTAAATTGGTCGTCACTCTCATCGATGCATTCCAAAGCTGGTAGTAAGGGAATTATTACCGGTTCAAGTTTTTTAAATTCAAAATCTTTATATCCTGTAAGCTAAAATCACCTATAAAAATGTAGGCGGAGCAAAATCTGTTCATATTCTATTTTTCTATTAAGTATGCCAACTTACCGTATAATTAGTTCCTTTTGGTAATTCTGTAGGCCTATTATCATTATTAAGATCAAGGCAAGCCGGTGAAATATATCGATTAAATTTAATTTTATCTTTTAATATAATCGCACCTATGTCGTCTCTGAAATTTGTTACAATACCACGGTATCTGAAAAAAAAATTTCATAAGTAATATACACCAATAAAAAATGGTAATTATTGTCGTGAAACAAACTGTAACAGTAAAGAAAGAAATGATATTTGAGAGTAACCAGAGTGACCATCGCAAATAAAACTGAAAGCCATTAAACTGAAATTGTCGAAAAAATGAGATTATATTATCTCTAATTGCTATTATATTATCTCCACATAGTATACATACTACTTACCATTTACCTTTACATTATTTTACTTGATTTTTTAAATTATATAAATGAAGTAGAAGTCCTTTAGTCCACCTTTAGTTTTTGTAAAATGCGAAATAACTTTAGAGCTACAGCAGATTTTTGCTGCCGTTTAACGACAGATATAAAAATATAGATATTATATGTATGGTCTAGTCTGGCACAATTATTTAGTGAAAAACTCAACGTATCCCAAAAGGTCCACTCTGGTTACCAACTTCTCATAAATGTTAATTCAATAAACTACTATTAAAACAAATGCAACTATAGGCATAGTTCATAGAACCATGAAGTCATTTTTTCACACTCCATGCAGTACAAGTTAATATTTATAATTATGATATGATAATATTTCAAGAAACTTACAAAGGAAATACATTTATCTGTTTGACTTCGTAATATTGAGCATATGGTGTATTATATAATGAATCGTTCCATTTGTAAAGGCCTGTACCAACTGCTACCTTAACATAAGATGCATTAAATTTCGCTGCTTTAGCTTCATCATAAAGACAATGTGCAGCTAAAATAGAAATATTTAATTAATAACACAATTTTTTAATATTTTCAGAACTTTAATATCAATGATGAATATATAGTTGCATACTTACACGTGATTATTACATTATCGGAAAATAATTGTACCACCGCAAACAATTCTTGGCTCATTTTTTGGTTTGTCATGAAATATTGTAGCAAACCACGGATATCGCCCAACATCACTTTCATTATCCAGAGGATTTACATTCCCACAAACTGTACAAAGTACAATATAAAAAAATAGCTTCCAAAACGATTATTAAATACGTTTGCTTATTTTTTTAATAATTCAACAGATATATGGTTCACAAAAATAAAAAACATTCAGAAAATTATCGAAGAAAAGCAACTCTTACTTCTACCATATTATTATATATTTTTTACAATAATTCTTTTTGTATTCTCATAAAACAGCAAACATGATACAGCAATATCTTATAGGCTTCTATTATATGAGCAGAAAATATTCAAGTTAGAATAGAAAAATTTAGTTTAGAATTCACTTCATTAACAGGAGTCTTTAGTTTTAATTTACCATAATTTAGGGCAAACTTTTACACTGGCACAAGTTGCTGTCGCATCCTATCAAATACTTTCATATTAAAATATTCATATATTTAAATAATTGTATAATTAACTTTGCTGTTTTCTGAATAAATAGTAAACAGCTGCTTTTGGTCCAACTGATGATCCTTGTTTTCAAAAAATATGTACAGTTACTTTTGGGCAAATATCCAAAAATGATTTCAAATTAAAATATTTTCATCACCATCCTGTATTATTATTTCACAAAAATATATAAAATTTATTATTTTACCATTCATCGCAGGCGCATTACATTTATTTGTTATTTTATTTATAGATTTTTTTTCTCTGCTTACCAGGCTGACATGTAAATGGACACTTGTCCCAAATACCATCTTCTTCGCATTTGATACTATAAAAATCCAGGATCTTCTAATTGCTGGTATCCTTCCTTGCAAATTAGATTTGCCCTGGTACCAGGAGACACGCGTCGGTAACAGGATACACCGCGTCTTTTGGAGTCCTGGCACGTTATGGACAACGAAGGCAAAGAAAGTGGTTCACATGTCCTACAATAGAAAATAATTTTAAAATTTAAAATTTGCAGTAATTTTACACGTGTTTTCTAATTTAGTACAATATTTTTTGTTCATAAATTTAATTTAATATAGCAAAATTTATACCTGTTGGCAATACATTCGTTACCGGAACAGTTTGTTGTCTCCCGACGAAGCCGAAATGAATTCGCTAAAATTTAATTAAACGTCACATTACTTTATTAAAACATATCACTTGTTATTTTCTACCTGTTATAACACAGAAAACACATAATATAATTAGCTGATGCACAAACATCCTCAATCGAAGAATATACAAAACTATTTGACTCGAGATCAAGGACTGTTTGCGCTTTGTGTACATCAATTATTTATTTATTATCATTATGCCGAAGTGTCTGTCGTTTGGATACAATCCGGTTTTGCCAATACATAGATGCAATCATATATTTGAATTTTTAGACGTCATCTTGGACAAATATGTTTAGTTTTTAACGATATCATTCGCAGAAACCGTATGGCAAAAATATTTTTTCTAGTCGTCGGGACTGGTCTGCCCTTCGGTGGTCGACTTAATAATTTTAGTTACGTAATATTTGCCATTGACATTCTAAAAATCTAAGTTGAACTTATTATTTCTATATAGGGGAAGAACGGATAAAATGATATGGCTCTTAATTTTCAATCATATTATTTATTTAATTATATTATAACTAGTCTCAATGGTTTTTACTCATTTTAGATTTATTTACTGCCAGTAACATAGTCTCGTGATTAAGTAGGAACTTTATTAACATATTAAATTAAGCATCTAATTACAAAACATGTTTTGTCTATATAATACATACCGAGATACTAATTGTTAAGAACACAGTTCATATAAATCACATCATAATGAGCACTTATAAAGTGAGAAAAAAAGAAAAATTCATTATGTGATTGCAATGTACGAGTGGAAAAGGTTTTAACAGATTTCAAATTTTTTTCTTGGCTTTAAATGAAATACCCTGTAGTCCATTGTATAAGTAGTCGTTTTGCCCAAAAATGAACAAAATGAATAAAAAATTGAAATTCTATTCAATGCCTGATAATTGCAATGGAATACATCGAAATCACGGACATGAGTTTATTGATTTTAATTGAAATAATTACAAATCACAAATTAATATAATATAAAATAAACGAATTCCAGAAAAACATGACAAAACCACCTTAAAAATAATCTATTGACTATTGGCTTTCTTCATATTATACATATGGAAACGTTCCTAAAACTAGTCAATTTTTAAATAACACCACTGTGTCATTTTGTCTAATATATTATTTTGTACGCATTGTCCCTGCAACCATGAATATATTTTTTCATTTGAGTTTTCCCCATGCCTACTTATTTAGACACATCCACTAGTTTTTTTGTTTCGCTTTCGTGTGTCAATCACAATAAATTAATTCAAATTTTAATTTTCGTATCATGACTTACTCATTGTTTTTAAAAATTTATGCTAATCTGATTTGAAACAAAATCAAATCAAACACACACATTTTTATACAAACACAATTTTATATACATTAGTTTTTTTACATAATAAAGTAAAATGTATAGTCGTAGCACCAGAGCGGACGTTTCATCAAATTTGAGGACCCGTGATAAATCCAGCACACCTTTTCCAAAACCTTCATCGTCAAAATCGAGCATTCGCTGTAATAGTACCTCCGAAAAATCCATCAACTTTGTACAGGTTGGAATTAATGTATTATTGATACATATGAATTATATAGGTGCATATATAATGAATAAAATTTTAGGTAAGTAATTATATATGTCACCAGATATATCTTCACATTGAAGCATATATTTTTTCTATATACGTTGAAGTAATTTTAGTATAATATATAAATGAACGTAACAATACATCATTTAATTTAATTTTTTACAAACAAGTACAATTTTCGTTGTTTTTGACACTTTTATGCTAATCCTAAAAAAACAGCTAGTCCGATTCGATCGATTTTCATCGAATGGCAGTATAACTTATTATTAACTTCCCTAAATTTTTCCAGAAAATTTCATTTTCGAATTTTTTTTAATTTCATATTTCTTCGAGTATTGAAAAAATTCTAAATAGCTTGATACCAAAATTGGAGAAAGTAAGTGATTGTGTCAAAAGATTTCACTTTTTGTCGAGGTTTGTTCCCAAAACGGCTAAAACCGACATTGAAAATTAAAAAGTCATTCGATGAAACTCGATATAATTAGTTATGAGTTACCATTGGCCTTTAGAATTAGCAGAAAATGTCCAACTTTGCGTCGATGGTTTAGCCAAAACTCTTGAACCGTTGTTGGTTGGGAATCATCGTATTTATTTTTTAAGGAAGTTTTGGTTATTTATATTTAATTAAAAATTATAAAAATGTTTTGAATTTTGGAATAATAAGCCGTGTCAAAATTTGAAAATTCTTTTGTCATAATTTGTAAAGTTGCAATCGCAATTTTGTTGATCTTGATTATATACATCGGGAAGTCTTTGCAACTTGTCTCAAGGTAAAATTCCACTTAGAACTATTTGAGAATAGTTCTGGAAATAGAATTGCGTTTACATACCCACAATTGCATATCTTTTCCATTCGTGAGAGAATTGCTATTAACATCGTTAATCAGAGCCTGAAACAAAATGTATTATTATTGATTACTGGTTTGTTATGAATAAATAAATTATATTATTATATTATATGATATTCAATGTAATAACGTAAAACTCGATATTAATCAAGTTGATTGTGTATTTGCTCTGCAATATAAAAATATAAATAGCAGTAAAAATATCATTGAGATCAAATTGTGTTAATTTACATTTACAATAATTATGACATAAATAATTATAAATGAATATATTATTATTTATAGCAAAAGGCAAAGCCCCGATCAACTCTGACTCTTCGTCGAGAAACGCTTACCACATGTGGAGGCACCGATAATTGCGGTGACACCAAAAAATGCCTCAAAAGTAACAGCAGCCGTCCAGGCACCAGTTGTGATGTCAAATTGGATACTTCAGATGATTCTGAGACGGAAATCAGTGAAGATATGCATTATGCCGGATTGTCTCAATCTTTTGATTCTATGAAGATAGGTGGTAAATAGGAAAAAAATAAAAAATTAAACCAACTGCAAAAAACAACCACCGTGAGATGACCTTTATATTTTATCGTACCACTTTATTTACCTTGATTTTAAGTTCCTGTTGATGATTTTGAAAATTGAGATGCAATCCTTTTATGGCCCTTTAAGTTAAATGACTTCTTATTTACACAATTATACAATGAAGGACTGTCTTAGTCTTAACGTATTATTAATCTAAAATTATTATAAATACATCAATTTAATAAGTAATATACTAATATGAATTAATTCAGTAGATTATTATGAAATATATACTAAGAGTAATATAAAAAATTTGAAAATATTTCCAATTCAAATTACTTAGTTAGAATTAGATGAGAAACAATATCCGTGTGTTACGGAACAAGTTAAATAATGATCTTATTAAAATATATTAGAGTAAAATTTCACTTTAATTTTAAAATTAATTTACGTTTTATTTTTTCAGGTAGTAAGACTTCTAGTTTTCCAACAGATTATCACACTTTACGATACAAAAACGGAACTAGATCATCCATGACCTTCTCTAATACACGCATGAGGGAAATTGAGCGTCACAATGCCATTTTATTAAGAAAGATTTTAGATAAAAAGAAAGTTGCTCCCCCAAAACCGATGGTCAGTATTAAGTAGATAATTATATAAATATTAATGATAGAAATTGCCTATGTTTTGTATTTTTTTCATTTGGACTTAAATTTCGTAGAATTACATTTGTATTTTAGTATAGAATTGATTATTGCTACACGAAAAAACAAATCCCAAATTTGTCCTATATATCAATTAATATCTTTCATACAATTTTTTTATTTGTTAATATTTAGATGATTTTATTTAAAAGAAAACACCTTATTTAAAAGAAAAATGCTGATAATGATGATAACGTACAAGTATTTTTCACGGCGTCCAAAAGTGGAATTATTATTGTCTATTCATCGTTAGAATAA